TGTGACGCAGAAGTTTATGACAGTGCTGTGCAGAGAAAACAGAACCACAAAATAAAGATCAACCACATATCAGTGAAGTTAGTGGTAGAAAAGCAGTTGACGACAGAAACAAACCAATTCAGATCAAATTTCAAGTAACCGCTCATTACTACTATGAAGGAGCCAGCAAAGCACATCAACCAAATTGTACATTTTTCAAGAATTAGAGGAGCAAGAAAAGTTTCATACTGCCAAAACAGATTCAGCAATATTTCAACACAAGCCTAGATATATCGCAGAAGCACCGGTGTATTTTCACGAAACCCAAAAGATGGAAGGTTTGAGGCTGCGACGTCACCCATCAAGCGAAACAGGTAAATCCTATTCAGAACTGATTAAGGCCAAAAAAAAAGGAAGAACTATCCAGTTAAGAGAGAATTACGACTTTGAATAAGTTGTGTGTGTTTAGTGCACGTATTCTCGTTCCACATCTATCTTTAGCAGTTTCAAAAACCTTATGAGCAATTTCTTGTTCGTCCATTTTAATATTACTTTAGCTATGTACATCATTTTCAAGTTCTGTTGCTTGTCCCTCGCGCACAATTTTCCTGCGAATTTCCTCATTTAGGGTCTGGTTCTTTCTTGGCAGGTGGCCCGTTGCAATGGGGGGGGTGGGAAGATCCCCCTTGGGATCTGCCTTTCCCCTGGCCTAGGATCTTTCCCTCATTTCTGCCCTAAGACCTTGCCCGCCCCCTCCCCCCCAAACAAAACCTCTTCGTGGAGAAAGGGGGGGGAGGATCTTGGCAGGGGGGGGAGGGGGAAGATCTTGGGGGGGAAAGGGGGGAAAACATCTTAGGGGGCGGGGAAGGGGGGAAAGATCTTGGGGGAAAAGGGGGGAAAAGATCTTAAAAAAGGGGGGGCAGGGGGGAAATGATGTTAGGGGGGGAGGGGGGAACGGATCTTGGGGGGGAAATCTTAAAGCTTGCCAGCGGGCGTGTTTACTTGTCTCCCAGTATGTGTATTCATTTCAGATCGCAGGGCCGCGTACCTGCCAGTGCGCGCGTTTACTTGTCTCCCAGCACGCGCCCTCGTTTCTCTCCCAGTCCTGCCTTCATTTCAGATCGCCGGGCCGCATTCCTGCCAGTGTGCCCTGGACCCTTTTCCCCATCGTCCTAGACGATCAAGTGGCTGCCTTTGTTCCTGAAGTCGCCAAGGTTCCCAGCCTTGCCCTTGCCCCTATTAATTACGTAGTCACTTCCCTTCTAGCCCTCGACCTCCTTCTTCTGCAGGTCGTAGCGCGCGCCCTTCTAATCGCAGGCCGCGAAAGCGAACTCCTTCACCTGGCCATAGAGCTCGCGGATTATGCCGTTGAGCCCCGCCCTGCACCACCACTGGCTTCTTCCTCGCGTTCCAATAGGCCTCACCAGTCCCCCTGACAACCCTGGATGTAGACGTCCTCCGCCTTCAACGCCTGCTAGAACTCTTCAGTTCTTGTTCCGTTCGCTGCAGTCTCATGGTTCAATCTCCTATTGCGCAGGAAGATCTCGCAGAACCGTCGAAGGCACCCGTGCATTTGTCCTCCTTGTTCTCGACCTTCTGCGTGCTCTGCTCTTTGATCACCTTCTTCTCATTCTCGCATCCATCACTGGCGCGCAACTACAAGCTTTGGGCTCATAGCCCTTATCAACTACACCGTGCTTTTACTTGCGCGCAAGAGAGGCTTCAGATGCCCTTCTCGTACATCACTCAACCGAAAGGAAACCTCTCTTGATATCGGACCAAAGCGTGATTTTTCAATCCATTAAAAGACGTTTCTCCAGAAAAGGGTCATGGAGGTCGATGAACCAAGAGCGGCATGTGCGGCGGCAACGGCTGCCCGAAAGGGTTCTTAGAGGAAGCCATGAACAGCCCAACGCTCTAAGCAGGGCCTGGCCACTTGGCTCATGCGACCGCAATATCATGAAATCTGCACGTAACTTCCCTCAATACAACATGGACATTGGCGATTGCTCTCTTTGAAACACGAGAAGCCGATTCGCCGTTCTGGGTGTAACACATGCGGTCAATGAGGGTTCAACATATCCATGCCCTTGTCGCTTAGGGACGTGAAGAAGTCGCTTATTCAGCACCTTAGCAACTCAGTGAGGGGCATGGCCCGCCTCCAATTTTGGAAGCCACTATCCAAGGCGCTGCGTGCGCTCTTGCCCCTGAGGCTTCAAAGCCCACGGGGCCCAAACCTGGAATCAACAGAGAGCTGACGTCAAGTATCACCTCCTTCAGCGTGGGTGGGCTAAAAGGACATGCGCGTATAACTCACAATTTGAAGCGGTCACATTCCCTCCAAGAAGTAGACCCCTTCTGTCAGTGCATGCTCCCACCAATACAGGCAGGGCCAATGTAGTAAGCCACCTGGCGGTGCCAAATCAACGACTCTGGAAGCGCATGGGCACGGATCTCCGGGTTGCTTTGGCTGTGGAAGTGGGAAGGGCCCCAACTCACAGAGCGCTCGTGGTTTTCCAGGTCAAAGTCAGGCCCTCCCCCCCCACAGCACGCCCTTCGACCTGACAGGGTTCCATGGTCTGATCACACTCCCGGCACTTCCAACGGGGCGCTTTTCTGCTTGGCTGGGCCGATCAAGATGAAGGGTTGGAAATCAACGCTGATGCTTCGCTATCCTGATTGGGCAGTCATTACCGACGGGAACAACATATGGCGTAACCGAAACAAAGATCTTGACAAATGTCACGCAGGACAACCAAGGCTTCTGGCAAAAACAAAGTCTCGGGCAGTGAGTCCAGTTGGCGGGTCAAATGACGGAACCCTGCAGCCCCTGAAAAACTGCTTTCTCTTCCGCTGACACACGCGTACACACACATGTGCGCACGCAACCTAAGCTGTGGCGATACTTGCAAGTGCTACTGTCCTTGAGCCGCCTAGGGCGCCTGATAAGAACCACCCATGTGGCCAAACACGGTGTCATGATTGAACATTGCTCTGTACTCAATTCACCCTCAGTGCGTTGTGCCAAGAGGAGGTTAAAGCGTCCCTGCCACACAGCGCCCTTTGAAGAACGACTCAAACCATATCAAATCACCTCGAAGTGCGTGCTGCTAAGGCTTGGCTGATCTCCGGAGAAGCGAACATACGCAATCAAAATAGCATGCGCCGTGCATTTCTCAAGTTGAAAAAGAAACCAAAGCTTCCCCCGATAACAGCCCGCTCTCCAAAGACTTGTGGAGGGCCCCCCTAACACACGTGACACTCCATGTTGGGGCAACATAGCTGGCGTAGGGATTTGTTAATGTGTCTCAATGAGCCGCCTTTTCGGGCAGGTTTGGAAGGCGCACGAAATGGGAAGAACTAACAATAAGACACCTTTTCGAACAATCTATTTCAACCCAACAAACAGAAACCCAAGTCTAACGTGGTTGCAGTAGTCCCTGTTAGTTGAGGCCGTTTCAAGTGACAGGGCGAGAAAACCAGTTCTTGAAAACACGTCCTCAAACCGTTCCACTGGTTTCCAGTTCGGCAGAACTCGTTGGGCATCACAGAGAGGTGCGCGAGCTCACGGGTGGCTTCGTCACCTGAAGTTTGAACGTTGGGATCGCTGGACCACAGGTTGGTGCCTTTGTGGGTTAGGATGGTCAGAGGATACCCAATCATACCGAAGAGAAATCAAAGCTTGCGTGGTTGCTCTACGAAACAGTTTTGACAAACCTAAAATGACGGGCCCAGAAACAGGGCCCGAAACTTGGTAGGTGATTGAAACATCAGCTTTTTTGAATGGCCCAGGCAAAGGGGTTGATGACCATCCCTCCGACCATACAGGGCAAGAGTCCATTCGTGAGGCCTAGTTCTGAGTTACCCAAACAATTATGGCTGCGTCGCGGTGGCCGTGCTCGAGAATAGGGGGCGGGGCGAGAGCGAGAACCAACCAAGCTCCGAACCCCCCCCTTCCGGCCAACAACTCCGGGGGGGGCAAACCGAACAAAAAGAGAACCAAGAAAGAAGGTCTCAGCATGCAACCGGGACCATTCGAAATTGCGGCTTCATACACGGACACGGTTGCAACCGCTCTGCAAGCATTCTAGCATGGAGCGTTTTGCCAAGGGCTGCTTTACCAAGCTAGCTCGGCCACAAAATCTCACCTGGTGGATGTGCGAAGCATGCCGGAGGAGGTGATGCTCACATGGCAGGGCGGCATGCTCAATGGCAATCAAGATATCAAAGCCACGCTCCTGGCGGCTCCAAATATGCCCCTCCTGCAACGCGCCAACCCCGGTAGCCACATCTGATAGCAAGTGTCTCCGCTGAGTTGCAATGAGAAGCCACCCAAGGCTACTTGACCTCCTGTGATGGTGAGCTGCTTCAGTTTGGCATGGGTCTCAGATGTGCGTGGAGGATCTCCCTGGCCAGGTGTGCAGCTTCAGATTTGGAGCACGGATCACCTGCATGCACCGGACTCCATCATAGATGCCTTCACTAAAGGCTTGACATCGCCAGATCTCATAGGTGGTACACTTACATTGCGCCTGCCCACATGGTTTGATAGTAGTCAGTGTACCTGGCAACCTGCGAGAGAATTGCACGACTTAAGACAGAGTGGGTGCCAGCTTTTCCAACCACACCACTGGGAGGCGCAGGCTACAGAGAGCCTGAGACCCAATGGCTGTTCATTGCCAATCCCAACCAAAACCGATGGTGACGTGTCTTTTCTGGCATGCCTGCCTTCTAGCGGTTCGGCAGCGAATCTGGAAAGCACCGGGGCCGCGCGAAGGTCAGAATCCCTAATGCAAGCCCGGGACAAAATAAATACGGGGCGTTCTGTTTGAGAAGGACCCTTCCCTCTTCACCGAAACAATAACGTGCCATGTTCGTGCAATCCAGTGGATAAATCACTGAGTTTCCTATTTCCCAAATGGACCATAGACTTCTAGATACTTTGGCTGGACTTCACACCAAAACAATGGAAAAAAGAAGTCTTGACCACTTACGTGTAGCCGGCCTCATAGCCGAGCAATTCACACACTGCCTGCAGTGTTGCAGAAGTTACCTGGCCAAGAGCGAAAGTAGGCCAAAGAGTTTGCAAACGCAAAGACATATGGGTCCCACAAAAAATAAATTGGCCAACAACGGCAACCTTTAACACTTCGATAGAAGGGTTGCTGGAAAATACTGGGGGCGAATGTGTCTACTTGCTTTGGCTGGATCCGGGCAAACAACGTGACAATCACATTGCCTTTGCGTAAGGTGGCAATAATACGGCTGCTGAGCGGACCAGTCGCTGAAGGCGACATTGGGGGCCAATAAAAATACAGTATCTTTAGCGCGCAGGCCGCACCAATTCATGCCGAACGGGAAGCAAAACATGGGAAACAGATGGGGAGCGACCTTGGCAAGCAAGCAGCAAGGCACGCCCAATCCGCTTGCGACTTGCGCGCGCAACCCAATGTTGTGGTAAGTTGCGGCAAACATTCGTTGCAAGCAGGCAGTCCGAAAGCATTTAGCCGCACGCGGTCCAGCAAAACAATTGAACAATGCGGCCAGGCTCAGCGGTTGGGGTCGGGAAAGGGCACTTCGGAAATACCGACAGGTCAACATACAAAATACATAACAGTATAGGTACCCGCTCCATGGATCTACCTTCCTTCAGTAATTCACTGGCATGTGCATTGTGTTCTGCCTTTTTGGGGCTTTGGGGAAAGCAGCAAAAATGCGAATTTCCAAAGACAATCTGAAAGCTTTAGGCCAAACTGTTCCAGGGATTCAAGATTCCAGTGGGCTTGTTTCGACATCTGTCCTATTTATCTTCTGAGGTTTGGTTAGAAGATGCAAAAACAACAGCCATGTTGGAGCCATTGGCCCAAAAGCAAAAAAGAGAGAGTAAAAACGTACACAAACGAAAAATATATATAATATTTCAGCCCATGGTCAATGCATTTTACTTCAGGACCATGGGCTGATTTGCTTTACTGTTTCACATTTGTTGCTTCTTCATGTTATACGTGTTTTTGTTTTACTTTGTTTTTGCTTTTTGTACTTTTACTTTTACTTTTTTACATGTGTTTCCCGTTTTTACTTGTTTTAAATTTTACATTTTTATTGTTGCTTGTTTTGCTCTTTTGGCCTTTTTTACTTTCTTTATTTTTACTTTTCTTACTTTTGGGTCATTGGCTCCAGAAATTAGCATTTTACTTATTTACTTGTGGGCCTTTGGCTCCAGAAGAACAACGCTTTTAATTTTGGGCTACTGGCCCCATAATTTTACTTTATGTCTTCACTTCCGGGCGATTGGCTCCAACATGGCTGCTGTTTTGCATGTTCTGACCAAACCTTCGCGTTGCATGGACAAGTTCAGGGTGTAGGGTGTGGGGTCTATTGGCTCACGTCCACAGGAATCGGACTTGTTTCTCGTAGATGTTTGCTCAACACATTGCGTTGGAAACATGCTGTTTTGTTCACATAAACTCATTGGTTTTTGTTTGTTTACTGCTTTTTGCTTGGAATTCAAAGTGCTCAATAAAGAACATGAACTATAGTTCTTGATTCCAAATTCGATTCAAAGCTGATTTTAAAGGATCTTTTTCTATTAACTTTGTTTTTAATTGGACAGGAGCTCAACAAGGAACAAGCCCTAGTAGAGTTTCAAGTTTACATAGGACTTCCTTGTCGAACAAGATGTTTACTCAACACCCCCAATTGAAACTAAATGTTCAATCGGGTAGATTTGTTGGCATAGTGTTAATAGAACTTTATACGGACATAAGTCTAGCAGAATGTCCAGGTTTAAAACGACTTTGCATAGGTGCTTTAAACGACGGCTTTTAACCATTGGAAGTCTTAGTTCACATTAGATGTTCAACAGGAGGTCGTTTTCCATGATGACTTGTTCAATCTTCTAGTTTGAACCTAAGTACAAGTCAAAAGTGAACAACGCCTAATCAAAGGAAGTCTAGTTAGAAAACTTCCGGAGTACGAAACGTTGATCAAGCAGAAGCGCACTCCCGTAATAAAACAGAATCAGAAGATAGAGCCCGACCGAATCGCGCAGGGAAACTCTGTTCAGCATTCGGTTCGCCACGGTCTCGCCACGCTTTCGAAAAGTTCCCCCATGGCACGGCCACGCAGACATCTTCGGAGGTGCGAATCGCGTGGCAAGCGCAGCACTTTGGCAGCCTGAGGTGCAGATTTCGTGGCAGGCGCAACATGTTGTTCCCACGCAAGGTCAAGTACAGACTTCGTGGCAAGCGCAGCACTTTCGCAAGGTAGAGTACAGATTTCGTGGCAGGCGCAGGTTTTTCGCAAGCTCAGGTGTTAGACTGACAAAGAGATGGCTTGAGCACAGATTGAATAAAGAGCGCAGCATTTTCGCAAGGTCGAGTACAGACTTCGTGGCAGGTGCAGCATTTTCGCCAGGTCCGGTGACAGTCTGATAAATACATAGATAAACAAATAGATAGATAGGTAGATAGAAAGTTAGGTCAAAGGAGAGAAAGTGCTGAAAGAAAGAAAGAAAATAATCTCTGAGAAAGAAAGAAGAAAGAAAGAAAGAAAGAAAGAAAGAAAGAAAGAAAGAAAGAAAGAAAGAAAGAAGGAAAGAAAGAAAGAAGGAAAGAAAGAAAGCGAGAGACAGAGAGAGAAATAAAGGAATGAAGAAAGGAAGAAAGAACGAAAAAGAAGTACTGAAGAAAGAAAGAAGAGAAAGTGAGAAAGAAAGAACGAAAGAAAGAAAGACAAATCAAGGAATAAGAAAGGAAGAAAGAAAGAGAGAAAGGCACAGATAGAGAGGGGGAGAGACAAAGTGCCAGGAGGCGAGTCAAAGACGTAGTCAATGACCAGGCAGTTGGGGTTCAAATCTCGTGGGGTGACCACTACCCTCGACAGTGAGTCGTATAGTAGGGGTCGTTGTGAATAGGGGCTGTAAGGATATGATGGCCTGCGTTGCCTCACAACTAACTGCGAAAGCGGAGCACGGACCTTTTGCTTCTTCACAGCCTTCCGTTGGAAATTTAGTCTTGAACCACTTATCAAGAACTTGAGCCAAAGCATCCATATGCATGAGTCGGCTGTGCAAACAACAACATCCCCGCAAAGGTTCGAGGGACCTTAAAGGAGGGGAAGAGAACAGGGTGACCCTCAGAACCTGCCCTTAGGAGTTTTGCCAGTGGCTCGGAGATTCTCCCATCCTGGGCGCGGGTTCATCCCGGGGTCAGGAACCATTCACAAACACATGCCGACATGCATGGACTTATTCAGTTCTGTGAAACGTCTCTGCACGAGTTTAACCGGGTTCTGTATACTTAACAGGAAATGAGAATGCTACAGGTCGCATGCCGGACCTTATGTGCATTGATGCACACGCAGCAAACGATCTATCAGGTAATGGTACAGATCCAGAAAAGTCTGCAGAAAACAAGCATCCATGACGAGCATAGTCCACCACCAATTTGTAACCAGTAAGAGATTGTAGCATCGAATAACCGTTGACCACCAAATATCTGGCATCTCCAGAATAGTAGTCGCCGATGACGATACTGTACGGAAACATGAAAATGTTCTGTGGTGACAAATGCAAGTCTCATGCAAATATTTTAGGTTGCCCATGGTACCGTGCACGACGAGTACCACAAAAGTTGACCATGACACCATGCACGATGAGTATCACTATCCCATTGTGAAATATGCAATCTCCAGTTAATCCCCCACATAGTAAAGATCGTGTTGGAAATGCTTGATCACCAGTGCGACGATGCTGTGATGGCCTTTCTACTCGCCCTCCACCGGAAGCTTTCTAACAGAGATTGTGGTGTCTCCTCGGTTCGATTGATCTTCTCGATGTTGCGAGGGCAGATGTATATTGCGATGATAGCACTATTGAATAAGAGGAGTATCAACCTCTTTGACGCCTAGAACGCAAATTATGGCAGCAAGATCGACTTTCAAGAACTTGCGTCCAATGAGCACATCTGTTCGGTAGAAGGTCATGTAGTCGCAATTGAGGCCAAGGGCAATGCGTCGGAAAATCGTATCACTTACGAAGGCGATGTCCTTCTGGTGACTGATACCTTGATACCAAGGATATTGCAGGCGGTCCAAATCCGACAAATCATGTGCAGCCCTCTCAGCTTCAGGGACCAATAAACGTCTCTTCGTCCCTGTGGCTCGCACTTTGGAACCTTACATTTCTAAATTTAGGAGCGGCAACGACTTCGTCGTAGGTGGGCCCAACAGGGATGTTCTGTTCGTCGACTTCGGTGAAAATCCACTCGTCCCTCCCATTGATTGCGATGTAGGGACAATAGATTCCGCCACCTTTGCCAGCTTCCTTGACCAAGTCTGCCTCGTTGTTGGCGAATACCTTCCACACTTTGAAAAGTACGATGCCAATGAAGCCAGAGAGGTATGATGCCTCGCCAGACTCGTCGACGCAAATGGCCTTGACTTGCAGGAGGTAAATTGCGTCCGCATCCTCCTCAGGATTGTCCGGACAGACTCCCACATCGTCATCGTCGATATCCGTCCCGATGTCCGATGGGAGGTACGACCTGTCTGCGGATCGTCCCTCGCTCATCTCATTGGTGTCGGGTCGTTCTTCCTCGGCGACGATGCTCAGCATCCTGCATTGCTTCTCGCTGAGCTTGCTTCACTTCCTCCGTCACATTTGCGGTGTCGGATGGCTTGGGCTCGTCCTCATCCACATGGATCACGAACTTGCCGGTGGAAATGAGCTCACAGTTGCATGCAATAGCAAAATCCCCGATGACAGTCTGCTGGAAATACTTGATGGGTTGTCCTCGCAGTAGATAATGAATCTGCTGAGCAAATCCCTGATCTCAACCAACGAGTTGTTCGAAAGCTCGGGCACTTCGATGTTGACGCACGCCATGACGACCATCTTCTTCAGGGTTTCGGCGTCCGCAGAGTCTTCATCGTCCAGGAAACTGTTGAGGTTTCCAAGAAAGTCCGCTGGGGTCACGCCCACAGCATCCTTGAATCCTGGACAGATCTCGCTCTCGACAATGCGGGAGTAGATCCGCTTAACCTCTTTGACAT